CTTCAACGGATGTTGACATCCGTTGAAGGATGTCATCCGTCCAGAGGCAGTGTTCCTTTTACGTTTCGTTTTTATTTTACTACGTTTTGCGGCTCATGCAAGGATTATAGGCTTGGATATTAAAAGGATTATTGGAAGTATGGGAAGGATTTAGGGTTTAGGATTATTGGAAGGATTATGACTACGTACCTGGAGAGGAACCACGACAAGGACACTACACCATAAACGCACTGCACCACGTACTGCACCGAGAACAAGAAGAAGATTGTTTGATAATTCTTTTCACGATCACCAAGCTTTGTAGAAAAATATTTTACTCATACAAGAAACTACGTAGGTTATCAGTGAAATATGTTATAAATGAATAAAATTAAAAAACAACAATTTTAAAAATAAAATTTTACTGAGGGGCAAAATAGTAAAGGAAAGGTGGAGGAAGGGGCAAAATAGTAAAGGGGAGGTGGAGGAAGAGATGTGTGGGGGTGGAGGGAGCAACACCCTTTGAACAGATCTGACACCTCTTCGTTCAGAGTGGTGACTGTCTTTAATTGCATTTACACCTACCCACCAAAACGCTGAAATGAACGAACCAGAATTGGAACGCCTTCCCCTCTTTCCTTTACTTCTTACACTTCAAGGGCAAAGAAATGAACAGCTCTTCTTCTTCTTCTGCTGCTGTTACTCTGGCACGCTCTCGGTATGTGATGTTCCCGTTTCTTCATTAGTGGAATCCAGGTTTTGAGGTTACTGTGATGGAATCTAAGTCCATGGCACTGCAATTTCTTCTCCTTCTGCTCTCTCTACTCGCTGTTGCTGCTCATGGACTCGCTTCCAATGCTGTGAGTGTGTTACTACATGTTTGGTCAATCTCAAGAAATAATAGTAATAGTAACTGAAGTTTTCCTTTTATAGTTCTTTCTTGAGAAATGTTTTATGTTGTGAACCGATTTGTGGAAGCTTTGTCTTGCTTGCAGACACTGAACGAGACTTGTGGATACTTCGATGGTTCTCTCAGTAGAGATACAAAAGGTACGAGTTCTTCTATTGCTTACATAACGATGGTAGTTGCTATTTTAGAAATTATTATTATTATTGTCGTTGCTATAATTATTGTTATTATTATTGTACTCTCTCTGATCCAAAAGCATTGATGCTTGAGATTTTCCCCAATGATTATGAAGAGTCATTGAATACCTCCGACTCTGGAGGAATATCACTAAATTATCTCAGTTTCACTGGTAATATTTTCTGTTATATTTAGTGGATATCCTAGGAGACAAGGTCAGCACTGAAAATAAATTATGCTTTCTTGACCTTGAAAAGTCAGAGGTGTTAAACAAATACATGTTGCAATTTTGTTCACTTAGTTACTAGCTGAATAGTAGTTTACAAGAATAATTTGCTGTTAGCACCCAAGTAAAACTAACAAGCTAACTAATACACAGGCAAATTACAACTAATTATAACTAATTGGAAGGTTTTCTCTCATCAGTGAGTTTGCGTCTAGATGCATCTCATCATGCTCATCAATTTTATAAAACTCGTGGATCATTGATAGGAAGGGGGTAACATGATCATAACTTAGGGATGGTAACTTGGATTGTAATATCCTCTTAAAAATGCACAATTATATTTAGATGTTGGTGATGCAGCGTCAGTGCTGCTCGCTGACAGCTATGAATAGAAACGAGCGATGGTTTCTATGTGCATTTTGGGAACCTTAAGCACAAATGGGATGTACATCTAATTTTTGAATTGGGTTACAATAGACAACCTGAATAGTCCACTCACACACAGACACACACACATATTTCCCAAGTTGGGTAACAAAATTCCAAGACCATCCAACATTCAAGATTAACATGGGCAATGATCTGCTGTTTCTGCAAGCAAACTTGTGAGCATTTAATGATCGGCAGATTCTCTGCTCTGCCATGTGAATTTGGTCAATAGTGCCCCCAAAGTTGCAGGATTGTGCAAGTTTACTGATTTGGACAACATCGATGCTCACATCCTATTATCTACATGAATGGTATAAGAATTGTTGTGCACAATTCGTAATACTTAATATTCATGATTTGATATATTCTATATAAATTCTAATACATTACATCTGATGATGCTTATAGTCACATTTGGATAGTGAATTTTGTTATTTGTTTGGATAGACTTTGAATAGTAATGCTTGAGTTTTCAATTATTATATTATTTCCTCTCCTTCTGCAGTACCTTGCCCTATTGGTTGGGTTATGGACCCTAACAAGACCAAATGCTTTCTTCATGTTGGGAGGCCTCAATCTTGGAATGACTCAGAAATCTGTTGTAGTAAGTATGGTGGACATTTAGCTTCATTGACATCACTTCAGGAGCTACAATTTGCTCAGAGCCTGTGTGGTGAATCTGTGAATAGTTGCTGGATTGGTGGACAAAGACGCAACACTACAACTGGTTATCAGTGGATGTGGTCTGACAATTCACCAGGGAATAACTCCATATTTCCATTGGAAAATGTTCCTCCCCATTGTAATGGAACTGGACTATCCTGTCATGGAAACAATACAGATAATCTGTGCACAGTAATGACTAATAATTCAAACTCTCTCGTGAGTGAGAGATGCGATAATCCTCACTCTTCTCTGTGTATACTTGATATAGGTATGTTCTCGTTGTATATCACTACCAATTCTCATTTTGCATTCATTAGAGATTCAGTATTTATATTTTCAAATCTATTTTATTCCCTCACCCAAAAAGTCTCTTGCTATTAAAAAATATGTTCAATAGGTGCATCGTTCAATGAATTTTTAAATCATCATTTCTGACTGAACCGTTTACCCATTTTCTTTTATAATAGATGCAGCGTGTAACCGGATGCACTGCCATAGGGATTATTACCTTATCATCCTCATAGTAGTGAGTGCATTGATACTCTCTACAACATTAGCAGTGGTAGTTTGGCTTCTTGTATATAAGCGGGGAAAGAAAAGAAGGCGGTCTAGAAAAATATCTGTTCCAGGAGCTTCTCTTCCATCATGGAAAGTCTTCACCAAAGAGGAGTTAAGGTCAATTACGAAGAATTTCAGTGAAGGTAATCGTCTTGTTGGTGATACCAAGACTGGTGGTACATACAGTGGGGTTTTATCAGATGGTTCAAGGGTTGCAGTTAAGAGATTAAAGAGGACAAGCTTTCAGAGGAAAAAGGAGTTTTATTCTGAAATTAGCAGGGTTGCTAGGCTTCGATATCCCAATCTGGTTGCTGTGATGGGATGCTGCTATGATCATGGTGATCGCTACATTGTTTATGAGTTTGTAGCTAATGGTCCCTTAGATAAATGGCTGCATCACATACCTAGGGGAGGTCGCAGCTTAGATTGGGCTATGAGGATGAAAATTGCTACAACGCTTGCTCAAGGAATTGCGTATGTTCAAAATATACTTTTTATTTTGCTAACTTCATTTTATCTACAATTTTTCACACTCCTTGTTCATGTGCATATTTCACTCAAATTAACAAAAAATTTCTTATGATACAAATTGTTTTGCTATGAATGTGGGCATTTAGGTTATTCTGTTGTATTTGTGTGCATTCTTTGTAATATGCACTGCATTATGACTTTTAAGATTCCAAATTTCATAAGGGAACATTTAATTTAATACTTGTTGTGTCTGGTGCATGGACAAATTGAAATGAAATTGATTTTTCTTTCCAGTCTGTTTTCTTTGATGTTCCACCCTTTTAATTGGAACCAGAGTGTTTCATTTTTAAACTGTCCTTTTCAATTCTTTCTTTACAATGTAGCAACAATAGAATAGAACTCGGGATATGTTTGTTCCATCTAGTATGTCTAAATGTCACTGGTCTCATTGATTATCAAATTGAGTGAAGAACTTTCATGTTCTGGATTTCCCTGTCTCTAAAGTCCTACAGCCATCCTGTTCTTGAATGTTATTTTTGCATGAGAGCAATATTCTTTTCATTCTAAAGATAGGGATCGCCATTTGACCAAGTAAATATTACAAAGGATGGTGGAGTTGAATGAATTAAAATATGCTCTGCTGGTGTACTTGGCTCAAAACTTCGCGTGGATGGTGGTCAATTGAGTGAAGAACTTTCATGTTCTGGATTTCCCTGTCTCTAAAGTCCTACAGCCATCCTGTTCTTGAATGTTATTTTTGCATGAGAGCAATATTCTTTTCATTCTAAAGATAGGGATCGCCATTTGTCCAAGTAAATATTACAAAGGATGGTGGAGTTGAATGAATTAAAATATGCTCTGCTGGTGTACTTGGCTCAAAACTTCACGTGGACGGTGGAGTTTCAGAGTAAATGTACCAGGATCCCACAATGCTATTTGACACTAGATGATCATAGAGGGAGATAGAGATATAGAGCTAATTATCGTAGCCCATTGTTGTTTGTGTTGGATCCACTAATCTTGCATTGCATCTGTCTTATATTATGTCCTCATTTCACTAGTTATCATTAGAGGATCCTGATCCATCTAGAAAAGAGGAAATAATTAATGTGTTTTTTTAATTGCCGGTTAGGTTTCAGTTTTCGTTTGCGTTATGGGCTATCTACAGTTTCCTTGTCCAGCACTAGACTGTATCAATTGAGATTTTTGAAGATGTTTTAAATATTATCTTCTTTTCTAATGTTTATTTATTATATTATATAAAAAATTACATTTCCTGAGCCATGTAAGATCATTTATGAAAGATTTCACTCCTTTAGCATCAATCTTCAAGGACTTTTTCCTGGTTAGTTATATAACGTTGCTTCATTTCATTGTTGCTGTCCTATATTGGTCCAGTGTAGTGGATTATGTTTACCTTCATTATGCAAACTCTTCAATGCCTTGTGTGCTTTATAGGAGGATATAACAAAAGAAACCCGATGGCTTTTTAGTCTCTAAATATGCTATGTTAGTTAGCTTGTAAAATCATGCCAAGGGTAAGTAGGCCGTTATCTACCTATCAAGAAGAAAGAGAGGAGGAAATAATTTGAAACCCATGTCCGGGGAACCATATGAATGTTTGTTGAGTTTTTTCATAACGGTAATTATAATTCCATTCACTCTACGAAACTATTCCTCTTGAGTTTGTTCCAAACTTGATTTTCCGATTAAAAGTAAATAAATAAATAAATTAAATATTCCATACTCTGCAGTATTTTGAACTTAAATGATAGATTGATTAATGTATAATTGCGGCCCACCTCTCTATTTCAACAGGTTTCTGCATGACAAGGTTAAGCCACAAGTGGTGCATCGAGATATACGTGCAAGCAATGTACTCCTGGATGAGGAGTTTGGAGCACGCCTGATGGGTGTTGGTCTGTCCAAGATTGTGCCGTACGAAGTAATGCATGAGAGAACTGTCATGGCAGGTGGAACTTACGGATATCTTGCTCCAGAGTTTGTGTATAGAAACGAGTTTACAACAAAGAGTGACGTATATAGTTTTGGCGTCCTACTACTTGAAATAGTAAGTGGACGTAGACCTACACAGGCAGTTGATTCTGTTGGTTGGCAGAGTATCTTTGAGTGGGCAACACCTCTTGTGCAAGTTCATCGCTACCATGAACTCTTGGATCCTCATATAACTTCATCCTCTTCTAGCATTATCCCTGAGGCTAGTACCATCCAAAAGGTGGTTGACCTTGTTTATTCCTGCACGCAGCATGTTCCTTCTATGCGCCCTAGAATGTCTCATGTTGTTCACCAGCTGCAACAAATTGCCCAACCACCTGCAAAGTAAAAGCTAATCTTGACCTCAAATTTCTGTATCTATAACTTACAAGTGGAGGCTTTTTGTGTTAATACATGTAACAGATATTTATGTACTTTAACTTCCCCTTCTTTGGGATCGAAATTAGCTTTTTGTTAAATCAAGTGGGAACTAGGGTTAGAAGAGGCAAATTGTGCGAAACAATATTTGAATTTTTATACACGCAGGTGTAATTGTACTATTAATTGAACTGTACTATTGAAGAATTGTTTGAGCATAGAAGTGATTCTTCAACAAGTGATTCTTTTTATAAAGAATTTATTTTAGTACTAATTTTATTTGATTCATTGTCAAAGGAAGGAAAAGAAAGTTGTGTTTGTTGAGAAGAGAAAAAAGAGAAGAAATAAATTAAAAATTTGTACAACTCATTACTATTTATTTATTATCTCCACTTATTTTTCATCTGATATCTGTTTTATTTGTCTACCGTAATGTCATAAATATTAATATTCTGTTTTATTGAGTTGAAAGGGTGAACGATGCTAAATGAGATAATTCATGTTGAGTTTCTATTTAAAAAAACGATTTTAAAAGTTAGTATACTATATAGTTAATTTTATTTAAAATTATGAATTTAAAAAACTAAAATACCTGAAAAAAAAGACATGTTCAACTATGAAAAAATAAACGTTAGAAATATAATTTTGCTTGCTTATTATTTGTACAAACTCAATTAATGGAGTGAGTAGTGTGCCATTTTACCAAATATAGAGATGTTAACATGAACTAAACAAAAGAAATATCACTTTAAATTAATGTAATTTGATGTGATTCTAGAAAGTCGAAAACAATTCCAAATCTAAAGTTAATTTTTTAAAGTTAAACTAAACATAAGAAGTTTAACAAAAATCACGTTACTTAATATTTTAACAAGATTCTAAACAAAGGATACTACTAGTACAATACAAAAAGCTTCTCACTCTGCATTACATGAAAATAAAACAACGGGAGAAAAGTATTACATCTGAAATAATCAACATACATAGAACATTTGAAACGTATTCATTTCGAGATACCTTCCAAGCCTTCAAGCCGCATAACGATCAAGATGTACAATTTTTGTTGTTTAAAGAGGCAAATTTGAGAGCTACGGGATACAAACTAACAAAATAAATAGCTACAATTTTGCAGGTGGCGTCAAACATACACTTCTAGGGGCTGTCAACAAAGTAGCACTAATATTTATTGAAACTGAAAACTGCCCTGGGAAGAGATATTGATCGTTATTTACAATATCACCGCACCTGTGTGTCCAATGGAAAATTAACATACGTATACAACACACGCAAAGTCAGCATATGAATAATAAAGAATCACCAAATTATATGCTGGTATCTGGAAAAAATTCCATCCTTATCTGGCTTGAAAATTGATTTTGATCTAAATATTTGTATCAATTTTCCTCTAGCTACGTGCGTCTCTTTAATATTTATTGCTTTTATATATCAAAGTGGACAAGCACTTGAATGTAAAGCCGAATACATGCAAACAACACAGGATTTTTTTTTTTACATAAAATTCACTAACCTCAATCTATGGATTCTGTTGTTTGGGATTGTTGCTCTTCAAATAAAGATTGTATTCTCTGCAATAAACAACATACCTGGGTTCTTAGCGAAAAGAAAAGAATCAACTTCAGTTTAGATACATAAAACTGAATCCTTTCCCTTTTCGCAATTTTTTATTCTATTTCAATCTCGGGAATTATTAAAATTCGTGTTTCTTCCCATCCTCGGTGCCATTAATTAAATAACAATTCAACATCTCATGTAAATTTTCTACCTTGACAGAGCTTCCAACTTCCTCTAGTTTCTGCATTAGTAGCTGCTCCCGAGAAGGTTTATAATCATGTTTCAATGACTTCGATGTAGACATCTGGAAGTTACAGAAAACAATAAAAGGTGAGATAGATAGAGACAATAAGTAAGCAACATGAGCAATGAGTGCTAAGCAATATAAAGGTTTACCAGTCAATGACTTAACACTATCGGTCACCCACTTCCCCAGAAGAAAAAGAGACAAAAAGAAAAAGTAGAAAATTTTTAAAAAATTTATTCCCAATCTGGCACAGCGATGACTTACCATCAGATGGTTTGGAACATCTTCAAATGTAGAAACCTGCCTCGACATAACCTCATTTCTCATATTTGATAGACGCATCATAACTGCCTGAAAAGAATGGAAGCATTGCAAAGAGCAGTTCCACATAACCCATGCTATCAATCAACTTGATGCGGAAGACGAGAGCAACGAGAAATTTCTAACTAGAAACGGTTTTAGATTTTGGATATGTCTTTAAAAGAAGGATACCTTCCTGAAAGCATTTGGGTTCGCAACCCCCTCGATTTTAACATCATCACTGGGTGGCCTTCTAACTCCAACATTTTCAATTCTAAGAGAATAGACGCCAAAAAGTGATTGCATGTATCCTATGAATAGAGACAATAAATCACGAACTAAAAATTGAAACCATACGACCATAAAACCATTACTGGATATTGGAAAGCTTAATAGAAAAACAAGAAATGAAACCAATCACAACAGATAGTGTCAACTGAACGGAAGAATAAATAATAGTAATCCTATCAGAAACGGTCATACATGATTAATCTAGTTCAATGTCAAAAGAAGACCGAGACCAGAATTATAATTCTCATCTCTTAATAATCAAGTGTTTCCACAAGGCTTGTCTCCAACTCTAGCGAGAACACCGGGTTAAATAAGCATCATAAATCTAAACCATTAATCATAGTTAAACGGAATGAGAAAAAAACACTTTACTCATTCGATGTATTTTAATTTTAACATCATTTTTTTTTTCATTACATTTCATCCCACTCTTTTGCAAATCAAAGCACAATAATACATTAGAAAAGTGAACAATCTGCACCTTGTTCAACCACAACATCTGCCACAGAGTGCAGCAAAACGTGCTTCTCCTTCTTCAGCACTCCAAAACACGGAAATGGCACCGGCCTCGTAATCTGAGCAACACAACCACATATTCACGAAATTTTGATTTCTCAAAAAATAAATAACGATAAATCAACACGAGAGAGGGAGAGATTGCCTTGTAAACAATGGCGTTTGGAGTGAGATAGAGGGTTCTAGAACGAATATCCTTCCTCAGTATGAACCTTCTCACTGGTAGATAAAGCAACATGAGAAATCCAATGCCCCATGCCAGAATCAACAACACGGAGTAAAGCACCCACTGCACTGTTTGATACTTCACGAATCTGTGTTCCATCTCCCGGAACGACGCCGCATAGAGCACCGCCTCCGTCTCGCGCTCATTCTCCTCCAACAAACTCTTCTCCAAACTCTCTATTTCCACCACCTCCTCCGCCGTTCCCATAATGGCCCTCGCCAACAAGCCCATTCAGCACTTGCCATATATTATTTCACACTGATGGGCCTCCAAGGGATCGGCCCAAAAAAGTCGGCCCAAAATTATAAAACCTCGTAAACCCTTTCGCTCAGAATGGATCAAGAGAAGAAATAATGGGGGTGAAGAAGCTTAGTCAGGGAGTGAAAAACGAGGGTAATGGCAGCAACGACAACGTTTTTGCTTCATGCTCCTTCTCCAGCCTTGGCCTTGATTCCAATTTGTGTGAACAACTTCATGGTATTTTTTCTTGTTTTGTGGTTATTTATTCTTGGTTGGTTCTATAGAGAGTGACACAATTTGATTTTTAATTTTTGATTGTTTACAGAGAGGTTGGGGTTCGAAGTTCCGACGCTGGTACAAGCTCAAGCGATTCCTGTTATTCTCTCTGGGCGTCATGCGTATCCTTTTCTTAGTTTTTGGTGTTTCTTGCTGAGATTTTTTATTGAAAATCCATAATTGGGTTCTTTAATTAAGAATTATAGACTGGTGAATGCTGCAACGGGCACGGGGAAGACTGCTGCGTATCTCGCTCCGATTGTTCATCTCTTGCAGGGTTACGAAAATCGGATTCAGCGCTCTGATGGAACATTTGGTGCGTTTTGTTTTTGTTTTGAATGATTTAGTTCCTTTGTGTAATTATTATTATTTTTTTGCTAAATGGCCAGCACATTTTGATCACTTTTATCATTTGAGGATGGTGAATATATATCCTACTTATAGTTCATCTTGAAGTAGTGATGACTTATAAGATAATGGAAGTAATACTTAAATTTGACATTAGCTTTGTTATTTTGTCGAGTTACTTTGGATTTGTTTTCGAATCCCATGGCTTCGCATGAATTTTATAGAGGAGGGGGATGGTGAGAGTGAAAGTTGGAACTTCAGTGATCAACTGCCCCAAAAAGGAAAAACATAAGCAGTTAGGTATGCTAAACCCCTTTTTAATATTGAAGCATCGATAACGTACATACCAACGTGACCTTACAAACAGTGACAAAATCCTTATTTTACTGGGTGGTGTTAGGTATATAGATTGTATGGTATCATTGGGCTCTATCAAAGACCAATTCTCAACAATTTTATTCATCACGAGTTTATTATTAACGTTTTCTTTCATTAGTATAAGAATAGAAGGGATTGAGCTCTTGATTATATGTCAAATAACAACTGTGTACAGCCTTAAGCTGTTAAGTGAAGACACATTATTTTCTATAATGTATAATATTGAAATAGTGCATCTTGAAAACATATATCAAACTTTGTTCCTGAAAGTATTGTTTAACATATCAATTTAACTGTTATATAGTGTCTAAACATATTATTTTGCTTATTGTTATGGCAAGTTAAGCTCGTATTAGTTATAAATTTAATTGAGCTATCGGCAATAGCGTTGGTTCTTGTACCGACGCGTGAGCTATGTTTGCAGGTTTATGAAATTCTTCAGAAGTTATTGCATCGATTTCATTGGATTGTTCCAGGATATATTATGGGTGGAGAAAATAGATCAAAGGAGAAAGCCAGGCTGCGCAAAGGTAAAAATCGTGTCATCATTTGTATTCATCATATATACCCACTTTTCAACAGTCATTTAAGTTTGTTTTCTAGTTGTTCAACAATAAAATCTTGAAAATGATGGGGATGAAATTGTGATGGAAGAAAATATAGGATATTTACAGTATTTTTTTATGTTCAAAAGAAAAAAATTGTGCATAAAAGAAAAGCTATGTCATGATTACAAAGAGCTTTGTAGGTGTTCTTTCTTGTATCTGAAACTTAAGTAAGACTTTTAGTACTTACTTGATCATATTTATAACCTTTTTGTTTCCTTTTCAGGCATATCAATTCTTATAGCAACTCCTGGGCGTCTTCTAGATCACTTGAAGAACACAACATCATTCTTGCACTTAAATCTGCGCTGGATAATTTTTGATGAAGCTGATCGGTATGGTTTTCGTCAATTGTATTGCTATCACATAAATCAACTTATATTTCATACTGCAAAGTTGTTATGATATTTGTTGTATAAAACCCGTATTGTAGGAAACACTCGAAGAATACAAACACAGGAATGTATATTACAGAAACATTCTGAGATTATTGATCGAAACAAAATACAATCTAATTCGATTGTCTATTTCTTTCTTATTCAATAAACCTTTTATACATAGTAATGAAAACAACTGTGATCCGTTTTTCTGTTACTAAGTGATTATTTAGTTACAACAATTATCATAACAAAAGTCAATATGATACTTATTTCTGGATGGATTGTTTTCATTGTTTTATATTGTTTCACTAATGAATTAATGTATCATATTTTTTTCCAGGATTTTGGAATTAGGATTTGGAAAAGATATAGAGGAAATACTAGATCTTTTAGGTTCAAGGAAAACAATGCATGATGACCAAAAGAATACAGTTACAAGAAACTCTAAAATTGAAAGACAGAATTTGCTTTTATCTGCCACCTTAAACGAGAAAGTGAACCACCTTGCTAAAATTAGTCTAGACAATCCAGTGATGGTTGGTCTTGATGATAAGAAAATAGCACAAATTTCAACAGCTGTAAGCAATGACCATTCAGAATCTGATGGAGATAATGAAGACCAGTATTCCAGTAAAATGCCAACAGTTGGAGATTACAAAGTTCCTGTACAGTTGATTCAGAGATACATGAAAGGTATGTGATAAATTAGAAATTTCTTCAGTAAGCTTTCTAATTTTAGATGCTATTTTAAGATCTTGAATTTCTAGTTGGATTACTATGCAGTGCCTTGCGGTTCACGACTACCTGTACTTCTTTCAATTATAAAGCATCTCTTTGAAAGGGAACCTTCGCAAAAGGTAAAGCTTCACTTTAATCTCCACCCCTTTTTTGTTGCCTTTATTCCTTGAATCTATTTCTGAGATGGTTTCTTATTTAGTAAATTTTGAATGGTTAATTATTGTTTGTAAATAGGTATATGATGGCATGAACTTTGAATAATATTTTGGTCTAATGCTGTAATAAAAATGCACATAAAGAGCAAGAACAAAAATATCTCATCTATATGGCAATATGTCATTAAGAAATTTACCAGAATCCATATTATTTTGGGTTATGGGACTGGAACTTATATTCATCATGAATGAATCTGCATCTGTCTTTCCACTTATGAAAGTTCTTACAAATTCAAAATTTTATACTTAGTAAGTGACATTATGATTCGACAGGTTGTTGTATTCTTTTCAACATGCGATGCAGTAGATTTTCACTATTCACTGTTGAGTGAATTTCAATTTTCATCCTATTCACAAGCAGAAGGGACCCGACAGAAGTTTCTTGGATGCAAAATTTTTCGGTTACATGGTAATATGGTGCAGGAGGACCGGAGAACCAGTTTTCAGACCTTTAAAACTGAGAAATCTGCTTTGCTTTTGTCTAGTGATGTTTCTGCTAGAGGCCTGGATTTTCCAAAGGTTAGATGCATCATACAATATGATTCTCCTGGAGAAGCTACGGAATATGTTCATAGGTATCTGCCAATTTTCACGTTTGAGTTATTTTTGTTTGATTTATTTGCGGGAAGGGGGAGGTGTTCATATTGTGTTATATTCATTAACATGCTTTAACCTGTTTATATGACCTGTATGTTTTTTGAGATTGTATTAACAAATACGAGCAGTAATAGGGAAAAATGGTGCTATAAAGCTCAACAAGTAGTTTGAGTTGCATAAAAAGAGTATTAGCAAATATAAACATTGAAAATTTTCTTTTAATTGATGAGGGGTAATTGTCTAAACGTTCATACATCGTTTAACCTGAAAATTACACATCAAAGCCGATAAATTGTTACGGCTTGGAGATCAACAACATAAAATAATATGAAACCAAGTTGAATTATACGATTCATTAATGTAAAAAAATAATTTTAGAACTCTTCCATCGTTTGTTTTCCTGATGTCATTCTAATACCTTGGTTCATAATTTTTTTAGGGTGTTATAATGCCTCAGCCTCTTAAGCGTAATAGGCACTCAAACTATAATTATTATTGTATTAAAATTTTGACGAAAAATAAGCTAGCAAGGACTAATATAAAATTGAAAATGTAAAATGCTTCTTGTAATGCTTTTAAGCATGGTTTTCACTTGCTTTATGCCACAATTGTTTTATAACAAAATTTAAAGGTTTTTTTCCCCAAAGCATAAAATTATGTTTTTGGTTTTACATGTCCAATCATGAGCAAATAGAGCATCTTCCCAGTTATTCCATTATGATTATTTGCAATCTTTCTTTATAATTGAAATGCTATATCTTATTTCTGATTTGTCATGAATTCCTAATGCAGGGTTGGTAGAACTGCCCGACTGGGTGAAAAAGGAGAGTCGTTGCTATTTCTGCAACCAGTTGAGATAGACTATTTACAGGACTTGGAAAAACATGGTGTCTCACTCACAGAGTATCCTATCCTCAAAGTGTTGGATAGTTTTCCACTATATGGACAAAAGAACTACACAAAGAAATCAGTGTTCTTAGATTCACATCCCTGGGTCCTTTGTCTCCAGAAAGCACTTGAAGCTTTCATCATGTCGAAGGTGAATTTCATTGCTGATCTCATTGAAATCTGCACCTTGTTGTGTCCTTATTTAATCTAGTCTTAACTTTGTAATCCTTAACTTGGAAAACAAAACATTTCATGGTGGTTTAGTTTTCTACTAAGCTATAGAACTTACAAACTACTGACGATAAAAATAAAATGCCATATAGATTTGTTTGGAAAATTAGGCCCTCAAGTGCAGGAGGGGGGGTTGTGCTGGATGCTGAGTGCGGAAATAAAGGGAATTTTTTTAACCTTTTTAAATCTTCCTGTTAAAATTAACCCCAAAATTCAAGGGTGGGAAGATGCTTTAGATTTGAGAGTTCTCCCCCTTTTCCTCAAATATTCCAATTAAGGTATTTTTACCTCTTTATTCCCCATCTTACTATAAGTAGAACAATAAATACTCCTGCAGTAAGTTGG